ATATTATATTATAAACACATCACATCACGTCTCTCCTGTTTATAACTTCGTAGCAAAGAATAAACGACATTCATAGCGGTGAAACCGCTAGCAAGAGCCACAGGAACTTTGCTGCAAGACAGGCATATGTAACAATGACTTATCTCAGCTAAACTCGTTGGCTTAGTATACTCTGTTCTTGTGACAACAGGCCAGCGAAAAATCTAACAATCTACAGCAAAACCATCAATTATTATGGGCGTTATAACATAGGTGTGCAGCTGGACGAAACATACACGCCGAACCCCCCCAGACGATTTAAATCCCTGACGAAACATACACGACGAACCACGGCAACGGGTTAAGCCTCTCTGTCCATTAAGTCACTTAAATTTGTATAGACATTGATGACATATTTACATGAGTTTTTAAGTTATTTAAATGAATAATAATTTGAAATAAAGCACCTTACAATGTAGGTTGACCGACCGTAACAATTTTATGTGGTTGTTTATACCAGATTTAAGGTTGTGACTTTGGTACATGTTAAGTTTACAGTCTTTTGGAATGTGATGCTTTGCTGTCTGGTACTTATGTACTGAACTACATAGTATCACATCATGGGAAACCGGAGTCTGAGTTACTTTGTAATGTGTGAAGGACGTACGAGGATCATACTGAAAGTCATGAGCAACAATTTTTTGTAAAGTAACTTTCTTTATTATTGACAAACCAAATACACCACCTCAATGTACAGACCTTTCTTTATTTTTCCACATAATCGCCACTTCTTTGTACACATTTCTCCCAGCGTACTGGGAGTTTGAACATTCCCCTTCTGTAAAATTCTGTTCCAGCCATCCGAAGACACTGACTCACTGCTTTCTGAATTGCCTCCCTTGTCTCAAAACGTTGTCCATGCAGCTGATCCTTCACAAATCCAAAAAGATGGTAGTTGGAGAGTGCCAGGGCTGTAGGAGGGGTGTGGAAGAACTTCTCACCCCATCTTTGCAATTGCTTCCAATGTGGGTCGAGTGTTGCCATGCAGGATGTTGATGTTTTGTCCTGGACGTTTATCACGCAATGCACGATGGAGCTTGTGCAGCGTCTGGACGTAACGAGCAGCATTGATGGTTTGCCCAAGTTCCAGGAATTCGGCCAGAACAAACCCCTCTGCATCCCAGAAGACTGTGCCCATCACCTTTGCAGCTGATGGCACTCTCTTTGCCTTCTTTATTGATGGAGAATGCAAATGGTGCCATTCCATATTCTGCCGTTTCGTTTCAGGCTCAAAATGGT